TTGAACCGTTTCGCAATCCGAAGCTTTGTTCCCAAGATATACGTATTCAAAGTTCCTAGCGTCGAGTCGTGCGCGCGCAGCCTCCTAGGGGATTTAAACGTAGCGCGCCAAACGTCGCGCTTGCAAACTTTGATAGCTTGTATCTGAGGACAGAAGCCCCCAAATGCAAAGCGGCAAAGGACTTTTGACTAGAGTTATTCAGCCCCAGTCTTCGTAAACTATCGCCATTATTTCCCATTCTAATTCCTGTTAGAATTAATTGTACAACGGTGGGAACAAATCCACCTTTGTGAAACGATGCACAAAGGAGCCTGACGTGATCGCTGAACGACGTATCTTTTCAGAGGGTGTTGAGAGCCACAGTCCTCGATCCAACGCGGGTATACAGAGGTAACTGCTTAGTCATTGGGCCACGATCGACCATGTTACAATGGTTATTCAGCGATGTTACGAGCGGACACGAGGGGCCAAGAGGTGAAAAAGAAACAAGACGGAGGTGGACCATAGCCTCGTAAACCGGCCTGCTGGAGATGTAATGTTACGTCTGTTAGATTCTGGGAGAGAATCCTGGCTCTGGAGCGAATTTAGTGGCTAATGTTCAAGTTCCATGTATTTGCTATGATTGTGAGTCACGGCCGCGTCCGAGAGACAATGAGACATCATTCTTCGGTGTTTGTAGCCTCCTCGTGTGTCCGTGGACGCTTACAAGCCTTCGAACCTACACGTAGGTTGTTAAAAAGAAAAGTCCGACCTTGAATGACGGAATCGTGGACGCCAGTTCACTTTAAAGCGGAATGGGTAGCGATTATAGTCACTTTAGATAAGAGAAATATTTTTATTAGCTAGATTTCATATAAAAGTGACAGTTTTTATACAATATTAAATTGATATATATTTGTATGTCGATATCGATTTAGAGATAAAAGAACTACTTCGATTGAGGGTGTTCGATTAAACAAACAAGAAACCACACCTTATAAAATTCATCCCTCGAGAGGGCAAATATTCATGAAACATATTTCGATCGAACCCCCTCTTTAAAGTAAATTAGCAACCTCGATATTGAGACTTGAAAGCGTGTACGGAGTCTGATGTCTGCAATCACGGTTCTTAAGAGCATGCATCGAAAACAGCCCGCCGAGTAATTGCCTCGGAAAATTCCTGCTTTTCCCACGAAACCTCCAGTCCTAATCGTCGAATCCTCTTTTCATCCAATTACGCGCGAAAGGATTAAGGCTTGAGCCGCTCGCGTCCCGCTGGAAGCGATCTGGAAGACCATTACCCCCACGCAAGGACCAGCCGTCGGTTGGAAACAGTTCAAAGAAAGGGGCTGAAGAAGAAACGGAAGAAGGGTGCACTGGCGTCGACCCAACGAGAACGAACGAAATTTCACCGGAATAATTCGTTGGATACATTTTTATTCCTTATCCCGAGGCGTAATTTCATTTTCAAGCGATCCTTTATACAGGGTGTCCCAAAAATGTTGTAACACCTTGAAATGGTTGATTCGGGGGGTGATTTGAAACAACTTTTTCCTTAGCGAAAATATTGTCCGAGGCTTCGTTGAGGAGATATTAACAGAAAATCCCGACCAATCAGAGCGCGCGTATACCGTTGGAGCGGCCGTGGTAGCGAAGGCTACGCGCTAGGCGGCCGCGTCCAATGTCTTTCGATACGCGTCGAGTCACTTGTTCGTGTACGAGCGCGGCCACTTAGCACATAGCCTTCGCTACCGCAGCCGCTCCAACGGTATACGCGCGTTCTGATTGGTCAGTGTTTTCCTTTAATATCTCCTTAACGAAGTCTCGGACAACATTTTCGCTAAGGAAAAAGTTGTTTCAAATCACCTCCCGAACCAACCATTTCATGGTATTACAACATTTTTGGACACCCTGTATTTAACAATTTTCGTATGGATACAAATTTTGCCCGTGTCTGGTTTTCAGGGACAGTGGGAAGGTTGAAAGGCGACGAGGGGTAGGGTGGATTCTCCGGGTGGTAGGGAGGCACGACAGAGAGAAGGGTTCCTGTGTTCGGGACGCGGTCAAAGACACGAGACACAGAGCGACCGCTCGTTACATAAGTAAGGTAAAGGATCTTCTCTTCTGCTCTCCTTGAGCCGATCCACATCCGCGATTATGCCACTTTCCATCGACCTCGCTTCACCTCGACCGCCTATGCGTGTGCTCCAGCCTCTGTGTGCGCTTGCGCCGCGTACGTGTGGAACGGAAGTCGCATCTGCGATCTTCTTTTCGAACCGATCGAATTCCGGACCTTCGCGAGTAATTGTAGGGTCCTCGAGCACGTTCTCGACTCCTCTTCCTCCTTTGAAAGGAAGTGGAATCGTTGTCATGGACTGGTTCGACGCATAGGTAGGTAAATCACGAATAAAATAATGGCGTCGTTGAGAGCAGGCGTCGCGCGATGCGCGAGGAAAGTGCGCAGAAGACACCAAGCGGTGACCGTTCTCCACGAACCTCACTGGGACAACGAAGGGGGGATGTGTAATTAAAGAAACGCCCAAAGGGGCGAATTAACGAACCTGCTGTCGGGAGTATTATCATTCGCGATATTAATAAGGCGAATTCACGACCTTGAAGATACATATCGCGAGCTCGCGGGGGCATGAAGCCCGTAACAGTTACCTCCAGACAAATTCCAGCGCCGCGTACGTTTTCGTTCCGGACGCGAGGGGAGCTGTCGTCGCTTAATTAAAAACTCTGGCAAATCGAGTGGCTCGTCACGCCAATTAACTTTACACCGGAACCAGCCAAGACGACCGGGAGAGTGCTCGGAAAAATTAACGGACACTGCAGTGAAGGAATTAGTTTTCTATAAGGAACGCGATAGTTAATTGTTTCGCGATGCAACACGTTGCCAGTCGCTTTGTATAAAAAGTAACGAACAGAGACTTTTATTAGAGCTTTGGACACGCTAGAATTTATGATGTTTGGTTGCTACAAGTCCTCAGGGATCAGTGACACCGATGGTGCCGTCGACACTGCTCCTAGAACGACCTTCGACTACACGGACGACCTTGGTGTCACGCGACGGGAAATGTGGGAACTACAGGAAATGAAATATGAAGAAATATGTATCTCTCATAAAGACTGTATAAGGAGATCCAACTCCATACGAAAACTGTTATCAAAATCCCGAGCTTTAAGTTATGAATATTTCTACCACTCGCGGCGCTAGTGCGCACAGACTACGATATATATATATACATATGTCATATGTGTATGTATTATCGTATGTATATAATATATAATAATTATATATATGTGATAATACATATACATATGACATATATATATCGTAGTCTGTGCGTACTAGCGCCGCATATGGACGAAAGGGTTTTTGGTAACACTTCTACACTACACAGTTGGAACTTCTTATACAGTCTTCATGGTATCTGTATAATGCTTGAGCCAGAATAGAATATCCCAGTGTGTAAAGAAGATGCGGGATCTTTTATTGATGAACCTCTGGCGGACCTAAGACGAAACGTTGTTGGTGCTTCCCTTTTCCTGGTTTCTTCACTGTTTTATCCTCCAGCTCCGCTGATAGATGCTGGCTACGAGCACCTGTAGATAGTGCAGACACCTGTGATAACGCAGATACCTATCGAGGTAGATAATACAGATCTTGTAGCTACAATAGGAAATGAATATTACAGACGGTTTGTTAGGTTTGAAGCATGAAGACTGTATAAGGAGATCCAACTCCATACGAAAGTTACTAGAAAACTGTTACCAAAATCTCGAACTTTAAGTTATGAATGTTTCTACCACTCGCGGCGCTAATGCGCACAGCTACGATATATATGTCATATGTGTATGTATTATCATATATATATATATAACTCCAAGCTCGGGATTTTGATGACACTTCTACACTACACAGTTGGAACTTCTTATACAGTCTTCATGGTTTGAAGAGAATTTATTATGAATGGATAGACGAGTTGAGAACGTATATCGTAAACTCATTCGCGGAGTACAGGTACTGCCATCAAACTTCTAAAAGGGGAACCATTTCTTTACGAACTTGAACGATCTACCGTCTATAGCGCTACTTGTATTACGGTAGTCTGTCCATGAAGAGCATATACCACTTCCTTCATTGATTTCACTGATCGTAGAAACTAATAGGGGGTTAATCGCTCGGAGAACACATTGTAAATAATTACATTTATTTATTTATCAATTTCACAGTATAACAGTGTATACGATACGCTGAATATAGAATAATCTCTGCTCTTTATCGTTTACTAATTAAGGCGATTAGTATGTGAGTGATCGGTAAGAACATACATTATATAGCACGTGTAATTTATTGGTCATCACGATCCTTTGTTGTTCGCGCGTCGAACGTTTCTCTTCTATATATTTTTTTTTATTTTTTAAACCATTTTCGAATGTATTTTTTTGTTGTTCTTTCGTCTCTATAGAGGTCCACGCTACCGTTTGTTCGCCCGTTCGCTTGCACGCTATTTCTTTCTCGCGTCGACGATGTGTAATAAAGTTCTAATAGGTACAATGGACCAAAGCACAATTCTCTATCGAACTACTAGCCCGTCAACGACAGAACGAAACGTGTTTCGTCGTTCCATCGCTACGAGCGCTAGTAGTACGACAAGTTACTGTCCTTCGGTCCAGTTTACCGATGTAACGATAATTATTTTGTAAGAAGTTAGTTACCACCTATGTACTCGTGCGGATAAGGCCACAATTAGTGTTTTCCGCGTGTGCGTGCCCGCACACTCGTCCCGTTGATGCGTGTCGTGAGTGCGTGTGATTATTCGTGTTTCTTTTAATACTATTATTTCTCTAGACAGAGAAAACAGTAGCGATCGAGGGAGAAGGTCGATCGTCCCTGTCGTAAACCATCTTGGTTGGCGCACGAGCACATGCGTTAATTTTTTGGCTCGGGTGCAGAGACCAGCTTTCGTTGGAGGGCAGAGGAAGGTACGGAGTTGAAGGTGCTTGGACCCGAAAAATCCGAATCCCTAGGTCTAGATGTCAGGATTGTTTTGGTCCTCGAGGGTCTCGGTCCTAGGTTTTAAGGATCAGGTTGAAGGATTCAGAGTTTAAGCTTGACGAACTAGGTCTCTTAACGTGGTACCTAGGTCTTCCTTGGTCGTAGGCGAGTTTTAGAACCCCCACGCGATCCTGCACGCGAGCCATCTTGGGATTCCACCGTTTCGTTACATTCTCGGTGTTCGCACGAGTCTTACTGTACAGTGTCGCTTAGCGAAGGGGTGCGTCGGCGTGTCTGTGTGTGTGTATGACATGTCCACGTGTGAGTGTGTGTGTGAGTGTCGGTCTATTCGCGTGAGTTTTAAGTTAAATAAAAATAACATTATTTACGGTACGTATATCAAATTTAGTTTTCGATAAGAATATATATATTTATATATGTATATATATATATAGGATTCATCTTCATTTTCCTTGCGTTAATCGCGATCGTTCCTCTCCCCTAGCTCGTCGCGAGTAAGCGAAAAGAAAATAATAATAATAATAATAATAAAACAATAACGTTAATAACAATTCACGACGGTACGCGGCTTCGTTCTTTTCTAATCAACACAATGTAACGACTCCCGACGATAGTAATTACGTTTAAGGCGGTTTTATTCACGGACTCTTCAAGGCATTGTTCGTTTCGTCCCTACGTTAGCGGCTCGTCTCGATTTTCAACGAGAATCGAGCGACGGAGAGATTGAAAAATCACAAACGACTACGGCCTCTAAAACTACGAAGCTGAGAAGCGATCCCCAAAGACTCGACCTCGATGAACGAAGAGCGATCGGGGCTCGCTTCTCGAGGCACGATCGACACGAAGAGATCGTCCCAGACGGGTGTATTTTTTTCCGCGGTTCTAGATGGGAATCACCGTGTCTCCCAGCTATGGGTATACAGAGAGACGTATATTATATATTTCCTGAAAATATACTCGAGGAGTGGGTAAAGACACGGTGATCCCCATCGGCGCCGGATTCCTGAAATCGCCGTCGAACGACAGCTTCCAATCAAATATTGTTCGCGATTAAACTCGATCGTTTATGTTAATATTTTTTGTTTCTGTTTAAGGAACGGAGTCTTCTCGTTCCAAAGGGGGAGGAATCGTCAGCGGGGGGGAGGATGGCCTGTCCGCGTCGAACTGTGGGACCAGTGGATCTTCGTTGGTTCGGTTCTCTCCACCCTTCTTCCACCTTTTCTTCGTTTGTTCGATATCGGTGCTCGACGCCTTACATCAGCTTCATCTTGGCGCACTCGGGGCAGATGATGTCCTCGTTGTCGGTGATGAAGCCACGGCCGACTAGCGAAGTCTTGCAGCCCGCGCAGATGAAGCAGTCGTTGTGCCAATGCCTGTCCTCGAAAGAGATGAAGCGAGTGCCGCCAATGCCTGAAGTAGAAACAATTCCTCCATTTAGTTTATGCCGAGGGATCTTTTTAGCTGGTTAAACCCACGGATTATTCTCTCGAGACGTTCGAAGGCACATGTGGCCAAACGTTGACGAGCGTTCGCCAACGTTAGAGCACATGTGGTTTTGTTGGAAGTTCTCTAATAGTCGCGTATAAACCGGAGGGCCGAGGTATTCAAAATCACAAGTGCTTGAACGTTGGCGAACGTTGGCACACGCCCGAAACACATGTGCTCTCGAAGGAAACCTTGTATGAAAACCTTCTAATGGAACGGTGCGCACTGAATAGATCTCTTTCACGCGTAAACATTGAAATAAAGAATTGCTCACCGGTGATCGGTTTGGAGCAGGCGGTGCATCTCTTGGCGAACAGCTCCCCGAAGCAGTCGGCGCAGTACGGCTTGTCATCGCGCGAAGTGAATCGTTGTCCAGCAAGGGAATTGTTGCAGTTGCTGCAGGTGAAGCAGTCTCTGTGCCACGGCTCGTTCTTGTACGTCACGCCACCGCTAGTGATGATCTGCGACAACGAAACCTCTTGATCTCCTCCCGACAAACAATCGCTACGATATCCAAGGAAAGGAGCTGACGTACCTTGTTGCACTTGACGCACCGAGTGGCGAACTTGTCCTCGTAGCATCCTGCACAGTAGATCTCCTGTTCCCGCGGAATGAAGCTCTTCGTTCCGATCGGATTCTTGCACACCACGCAGCAGAAACACTTCTCGTGCCACTGTCTGGTCTTGTACTCCATCTTCTTCGTACCTGAAACGGGATAAACGAACCGTAGAATGATAATCACTTGTTGGTATGCGAGCATATGTGCTCGAACGTTCGGGCGCATTAGGTCGAAATGCTTCAGGTCGAACTGCTTCAGGTCCAAGTTCTCTAATAGCGTATGGATTTAAGAATTATGGCTTGAAGGACTCCTTCTAACCTTCCTCCTATTGTCAAATTCACCCTTAGAAGCGTGATTTTCCAAATTAAATTTTAAATCAATGTATTTATTATTTGAACAATTTCGACAACTGACGTTTACTTTTTTAACTTTTGTTCAAAAGAACATTATGCATTGTACAGTTCGATTTAAAAGTCCGGTATCAAATTTGAAACTCAGGGCATTTGAGGGTTAATTTTTCGATGCGATTTATAACCTGTCCTATTTCTTTATTTTTTTAGAAAGGAGCCTTTAGGTTTGTGGGCACTTGAACTCCCCCGTTTTAAACAAATTATTTATCCAATACCCCACGCTGAACACCCCTAATTCTGGTCTAATTCTAGGGTCTGAAGGGGTGGAATATTTTATCACGGTCTAGACGCTTTCCACGGAAAGGTGGCCCACATGTTCTCCTCGAGGGATGCATTTAGACTTCGAAACGATTGCGTGCGGCGCCATCGACGAACTATAATCTGCTCGCGTGCGTCTGTTCCTACATCCGCCTTGCACCAGTTAATTCGCAGGGGATGTATTTCCCAGGAGCCCATTCGAACCCTCTTTCCGGAAAGAGCCATCTTCTTGTACAAGAATTCGTCGAAAATAATTCTTCCAAGATCGTTCGATCGACGTCGAGAAAATAGCGTTCGGTTCTTCGTGCATCGACATTCGTTCGACTTTCGACGTGTGAGCGTCGTGTTTGTTCAACGAACGGCCTAGAAAGTTCATACACAGGTGCAAAAAGTTGCGGAAAACCGGAAGATCGCCTACGAAGATAGGTGTCATCTCCTGCTGCTTTAAAAGTTTCGTCCACGGGACTTTCTAGTCACGGTCGCTAAACAACCTACATACAGCGGGTGTAGAAAGTATTCGTACACCGATCAATTTCCAAAAAAACTGTTAAATTGTAATTCATTAACTTATTTTTTATAAACAATGACATTCTACATATCCTCGGAAATCTCTAGAATCGATAGGTTACAAAAAAAAAAATAGCTATTTATGTAAGTTGCGAAATTAACAAGAAAAGAACTATTAATCGATAGAAATGTTGAAGCAATAAGTATTCGCACAACTGTTTAATTTTTAAAACTTGATTAAAAAGAAAAAGAAATTTACATTAATTTATAAGTATACAATACTTCTTTCGTGGGATTTCCTTTTGATTTCATAATTATTTTGACTCTTCTAAGCATTAAATTAACTAAATTATTAGGTATTCAAAGTGGGATCTTATTCAATTCCTCTATTAGAGCCATTTTTAAAAGTACTTTCCTGGAAATTTCATGTTTTCTAATTCGTACGGAGCAATAAACTAATGTGTTTACGTTACGAACTCTGCTGTAAATGGTTCGTCATAAGAATCGTACAAGTACTAATTGCTCCTATACTTTTACCTATTTTTCGCTTTTACTACATCTATTGTAGAGATTTCTGAGAATATGTAGGATATCGTATTGTAGAAAACTACAATTTCACACAAAAGTTTGTTTGGAAATTGATCGGTGTACGAATACATTCTACACCCACTGTACAACGGCTGAGTGCACTCGTTCGAGGGGACCAGTCAACCGTGGACTTCCCTGGCTCCTGACAATTCGCAAGAAAATATTTAGGTATCATCGCGGTGCTTAAAAAAAGATATTACCAACTCTAGACATTTTCGCTCCTACGAATTGCTCCAAAATGAAATCATCTTTCCCAATTAATTCTAAGGGAACGGGTCCAAGTTCGAACTTACCTTTTTACACAATGATTATGCGTATCTTTTAAGATGGTCTTTAGACCAAGAAAATATTTTTATAGTCGCATACAGTCAGTCCTATAAGTATTCGTACCTATATTTATTGAAGAAATTTGTCTAATTGAAATGAATGTTTCGTGATTCCAAATAAATTTGTAATCGTAAATATATACACGTGCGAAGTTTATTCGTGTACATATTTATAATGGAAAATTGATTTGGAAACATGATGCCTGGTATTTAGATCAGACAAATCTCTTCAAAATTTGCGTATTAAAAATGGCTCCAAACGAGGTTAATTAGGGGGCCATCTTTAAAAAAACTGTGGCGCTCTTGAAGCGATTAGAGCTTTGCAAATATAAATATTAAAATTTCCTTAAGGGGGTATTATCGTCTAGAAACTTCAAAAATTCGATTTATTTTATTTTTTTTTGCATTTTATTATCATTTGGGGTTTTGAGAAAGTGCCTCTAAAATATTAATTTGAAATTCGTACAGCTCTCATAGTTACAGAGGCTTAAAGGCTGTTCACCAGTATTAGTGCTAAATGTATAGCAAACTTTAAACGCGTTTTTCTCGAAACGACATTTTTCAAGTCGGGCGCACGTTTTTCTCAAAAACTATTGGACCGAGTGACTTCTGGTTTTACACACATTTCGAGGGCACCATCACCTATGGTCTGAACTAGAATTATACCGATAGCTTGAATATTATACAGGTTTAATTTTCCGGGAAAATTGTCAACTAAAATATGAGAGCAGGGCTATATACAAAGTGTCCCAAAAGTCGGGGAAGAGCCGGAAATGGGAGGTAGCTGAGACAATTCTGAACAACAAGTTTCTTTGCAAAAATGTCGGATGGGGCTTCGTTAAGGAGATATTAAGCGAAAACCCCGACCAATCAGAGCGCGCGTAGACCGTTCGAGTGGCCGTGGTAGCGAAGGCTACGCGCTGGCGGCCGCGCTTGTACGCGAACAAGTGACTCGACGCACGTGCATCGAAGGACATTGACGCTGCCGCCTAGCGCGTAGCCTTCGCTACCGCGGCCGCTCCAACGGTCTACGCGCGCTCTGATTGGTCGGGGTTTTCTCTTAATATCTCCTTAACGAAGCCCCATCCGACATTTTTGCAAAGGAACTTGTTGTTCAGAATTGTCTCAGCTACCCCCCATTTCCGGCTCCTCCCCGACTTTTGGGACACCTTGTATATAGCCCTGCTCTCATATTTTAGTTGACAATTTTCCCGGAAAATTAAACCTTAATTTTCAAACAGCTGCGATTCCGATAAAAAATTTAGTACTTACTTCATTCTAGTTCAGACGATAACTACATTCATATAGACTGAAAAAAAATTTGTTTTTCTGTCTCAGACAGCGCATAACTTGTATAGATTTCAATGAAGTGTTTCATAAAAATTTGTGCTGTTACACACATTTCGAGGGCTTAAACGTGTTTTATTATCCATAAAAAAAACCCTGGAGCTGTAGGTTTGATAGTTCTCGCAAAATTAATTCCTAAAAATTACTGAAAAAACAAACTTCTGAACGATAATACCCCCTTAAGAGATGACTATAGAAAGGGAGAATCCTCGTTCGTGGGCGTCCAAGCATTTCTCTCGCTCGTTAGGCCCTCCTTCTCTCGGTCGTGTGTCAAGGTCGAGACGAATTAACGACTCGCTATTCCGAAAGGTGATCTAATAGGACCCACGGAGGGGGGCAGATGGACTTCCCGAGTCATGGATTCGAACACCTTTTTTCAACTTCAGCTGATCGAGGAAAACACGATTCACTCGAAAATTACCATTTTTGGTATCGCTCGAAGCGAACCGAAAACTAAGATCCACCGCTAACGACGCTACAGACCAGAGCTGTGAAATAATAATTACTTTGGTATTGTTCATTACAATTTGGGCTAATTAATATTGAATTAGAAAGTAGATACTTAAGTAATTCTTGATTACTTTGTTTTTAGTAATTATGCAATACTTTATTTTTAATTACCGAGTAATTCAATTACTTTTTAATAATTAGTTGTAACTACCCAGAAACTAATTAAAAGGTATCTTAGATCTAAAGTAGTTAAAAATACCTCAAAGTAATTATAACTACTTAATTAAAGCCTGAATTAAAACTCCAGAACTTCAAGTAATTGCAGTTACATGGAGAGTAATTGCTAAATGTAACGATTACTGTCTTCCAATTACTTTGAATTACTTTGAATCACTTTTGCGTGCCAAAATCGGTGGCAAAGGTAGTTGAAATTAATTAAAAGTAATTGTAAGACAGTTATCATTACTTGTAACGATTACTGTCCATGTAACTGCAATTATTTGAAAGTAATTAAAAAAGTGATTATAGTTACTTTCTGGCCAATTAGAAGTAATTATTAAAAAGTAATTGAATTACTGGCAGTGGTTAAGTAATTGCATAATATCATTACATTAAAAATAATTACAATTATTTAATTACTTGGTCAAAGTAATCATTACGTAATTGAGTAATTCATTCAGGTAATTAAGAATTCACAACTCTGATACAGACGAAGCTTTAGCGTCGAGAGCAATCGAGAATCGTCGAGATGAGTCGATCGCCAGCTGCCACGAACGTCAATTAACGATCAACGACTTATCATCCTCGACGCGAGCGCGTTGATAAATGAACGACGCACCGTGGCTGCACAATGCCGCTTACCCATCGTGTTCGTAGCAAATTAGCGAGCGGACGAATGAGATTTTCATTCAGATTTCCGAGCGTTCCTTCAATTTCAACACCCACTACTCGTTGGGGGATAACAGTTTTTTTTTTCAATTTCATTGACGTCATCTCAAACTATACAGAATTATGCTTACACACGGGGGCAAGCTTTTCCAAGCTGAAGATGAAAAATCCTTTTGACGACATTGTTCTTTGTATGCAACGATGCAAGTGCACCGTGGATTTATTTTCACGGTGCTGGGGTAATGTTAATGGTGAAAAATTGTCTTATTTTTTGGGTGATGTAGACTAGACTCCTTTTGTGTGTGGAGCATTAGGATAGTTTTATCATTGGAAAGTTTAGAAACACGAAGGTGGTATATCTATATCAAATATATTAAATATATTAAATATATATAGACCCAATTTAGTAAAGAAATAAAATTCTAGGGTAGTCGCAGGCTAAAAAATAAATAAAATTCAAGAGAAGCCTCGCACATTCAAAAAATAAATAAATAAGATTGAAGGGAAGCCAAGTCACCCGAACAAAAAAAAAATAAAATTCAAGAGTAGCCACACCACCACAAAAATAAATAAAATTTAAGAGAAGCCCTGCCACCCCAAAAATAAATAAAATTGAAGGGAAGCCTCATCATCCCAAAAATAAATAAAATTCGAAAGCCTCGCTACCCCGAAAATAAATAGAATCGAAGGTAAACCACGGCATCCAAAAAATGAATAAAATCCAGAAATCGATGGACTTCCCCGAGGCGTGTTTTCGAGTGACCACTGGCAACTCGGTTACAGGGACACTGAGTAGCCTAGATTCCGACGACCCTCGACGAAGAAAGCGATCCGGCGGGCTTTTCGCGTGCTATTCCTCGTGGACCATCGTGTGAGTCAGGAGAGGAGGGCCGTGACGTCAGTTCATCCGAGCAATACCTCCGTATATGTATAAAGTCTGATGGTCCAAGGCCACGTGATGTGGTAATCTCGCGTTATATGCGTCGCCTTAACGCGCCTGGATGCCGAGCGGCCTGATCAGCCGTGAAAAGCCGGCTTACTCGATCCGATTCGTCTTTTAAATCAATTTCTCATAAGTAGTCCAAGCAAGGACGATGCACGACGTTCCGATACGTGCAGGTGATCGAATTGGAATTGCATTCTCTTCTCTTCTCTTGAATTTTATTTATTTTTTCAGTTTCAAGGATCCCAGAATCGAAGATCTCATGGTTTCAAGGATCTCAGAACCCTAGACCTCAAGGTTCAAAGATCTTAGAACCCTAGATCTCAAGGTTTCAAGGATCCCAGAACCCTACACCTCAAGATTTCAAGAATTCTAGAATCCAAGACCTCAAGGTTTCAAGGATCCCAGAACCCTAGACCTCAAGATTTCAAGAATTGTAGAATCCAAGACCTCAAGGTTTCAGGAATTGTAGAATCCAAGACCTCAAGGTTCAAGGATCTTAGAATCCTAGATCTCAAGGTTTCAAGGATCCCAAAACCCTAGACCTCAAGATTTCAAAAATTCTAGAATCCAAGACCTCAAGGTGTCATGAATTCCAGAAGCTAAGACCTCAACATTTTAAGAACTCAAGACTTTAAGGTCTCAAGAACCTCAGACCCCCAAGATCTTAAAATTTCAAGATTTTCAGAACTCAAGACCTCAAGGTTTCAAAAAGTCCAGAACCTAAGAACACCAGGTTTCAACCATTTCAGAGCCCAGAAATAAATCCACGAATGCAAAATTCGAAAAAGCCTTTTACGACAGAGGATAATGCGCCACGAGGAACCTTAAGGATACGGAAAAATAGCAAAATCTATCCTCTCTTATTATTCTCTCCTATATTTGCAATGTAAAACCTGCAAACAGAGCCAGCACGCAGCCAACCGTTAATAACGTCGATACACACACCCCAGGCTACCAGAAACAAGTTGGTTGCCTGAACAGGAAACGTTGTATAATTCTTAAACAATCAATGCCAATGAAGGAGCTTCAAGGATCAAATCCTACTCCTTATCTCAATCGTCCATACGCGCTGCACGTCGATGAAAATTATTCCTGCTGTCGAACAAACTTGGACAACTCGACCACCCATTAGCTGCATAATTCCTCGTTACTATTCAAAGGAAACGAAACACAATAATCGTGTCCTACTACTCACACTGAGTCATTCATATAGAGCGAGTCGATGAGATCGAATCATACAAAACGATCAAATTTTTATTCTTGATATAATGTCATGTTACAAATTCTATTTACGAAATAAGAGGTTAAATTCAAGTATGAATTTGTACAAAAGTGAGAGTTGATTTCTACGCGAGAATTTTATTAAAAGAGTTTCCATCCGAATAAAAATTGCGTCCATCTCGGACTCGAACTATACGTCCCCGTGAACGTTGCGAAACCAAGTATCGGACGCGGGGGCGTCGGAATAAGGTCCCGTTCTCAAAGTTTTCCTAAGGTCGACCATTGGCACGTCGATCGTGGGTCGACGCCGCGTAACCAGCCCGATGATAAACTAGTCGATCGAAGCCGGTACAGCGAGAGAGAAAGGACCATAAGACAGGAGGAAGGAACACGAATGGAACCGCGACCTTATCTGGAAACACGAGCACGGCCGCGCAGCCTCGATTGTCTTCTGTGCACTTGCCTAACGAGCTCGCTAATTGTCCGTGAAATCGCATAAGCTGAGAAACTTCTTTCCAGCTGAACATTGAAAATTAATTCCGATCTTTTAAGACGATTTCGCTTATGACATTCATTCAACTGGTCTCAATGAAGGGGACGAAGAAGTTGCGGTATTTTTGTTAATGAAATACGTCTGTTAATGTGATGGACTATTAGAGGAGTATATAATCCAAAAGTATAAAAATTGTATGCGCAGGAAACTTAAATTCTTGACTTCACATATCCACAAATTCTTGAATTCTCGAATATCTAAGTTGTTAAGTTCTATAAAATTCACTCAACTGGTCTCAATGAATGACAAGCATATAATTAGAAGTATACAAATGTTATAAATAGAAAGCAATTCTTGAATTCTCGAATACCTAAGTTGTTAAGTTCTATAATATTCATTCGACTAGTCGTAATAAAAGGGTATCAACGAGTTTCAGGATTTCTGATAATGAAATACGTCTGTTATAATGATGGACAATTAGACAAGTATATAATCCAAAAGTATAAAAATTGTATGCGCAGGAAACTTAAATTCTTGACTTCACAAATCCACAAATTATTAAATTCTCGAATACCTGAGTTATTAAATTTTATAAAATTCACTCAACTGGTCTCAATGAATGACAAGCATATAATTAGAAGTATAAAAATGGTCTAAATAGAAAGCAATTCTTGAATTCTCGAATACCTAAGTTATTAAATTTCTTAATTCTTGAATTCTCGAGTGCCTAAAGCTTCGAGGCCCTATTACTATAGTTTTCCGTTGAGCTTCACCTGGTTCCGCCTTCTTGGGGTCACCCAAGACGCAGTCCTTCCCCAGGCAGCACCTGAACTTAGGGTCGCCCTCCATGGGGAACATGCTGAATATCGCGACATCCTCGTCCTTCTCTTTCGCCCTTTTTATCCTCTCCTCGCCCACGGTCTTGGTCTGCAGGTGAAGCTTGCTGGACAGCCGCTCGCTCAGCGTGTCTGTGGCCATTTTTCTTTTTTCCGCCCGAGTGTCTCGTCCAAATCTCCACGGAGAATAACGTGCACTGGTAATTTTCACTGTACTTCAGACTAAAGGGAGGTTTTCTCGCTCTCAATTACGCTACACCTCGAATCGATACATGGAATGCAACAATCTGGGTGGCTGACAGATACAGAGGTACCATTTTTTTCCAATGTAAGAGACGATCGATGGAGAACGATGGGTGGATTCGAACATGCATCGAATTTAAAATTATCGAGCCAAGGTAATATTGAATTTATTGAAAATTTAATTTAGGCTCGAGAAATTAAGCCTGCGAGGGATACTTATATTAAAATAAGAGTAGAACGATTCATAAAAGTCGAATAGCAAAGAAAGCTAAATTAATATAAATTCACTGTGTCACAAAGAAACCCTGATACATTTCGTATTGCAATTACTTTGATCTTCGAAAAGGGATACACAAGTATTTCCATCTGACAAAAATTCTCCGAAGCTGCTATCAGTTATTTTCACAGCGTGGCCACCTTCACTGACGATTTTCACGATGGATGAAGAATCATAAACATTTAAAACCAAGGAAAAACGTTTGCTTTCCACGTGTATCGAGTCTCAAAGGGAAATGAATCGAGATGCGAGAGAACCTACGAAAGGTAGTCTGCGAAGTGCACTGTATCACAATGAAAGCACGGCGAAACGCGACAAAATCGAGCAATGGTGCGATTAGCTTGGAGTCTTGGGAGCCACTGAAGCACCGCGACCAGACGTGCTTTCTGGAGTCGGTGTGCAGACCATGGGCACGCGCAACGTGTCTTCCACGACCGCTGATAGAGGCTCGGGCCATTCCACACTCGACCAGAACCACTCTGGATCGTATCCGCGAATATTTATATACTTATGCGTTGCGTCCAGGCTCGAATTGGGATCACAGGTTTCTTCCATAGATTTTCACTATACTTAGAGTGTACGTAGTTTAGAATATTTCGCTCCAATGGACATTGGTTCTCAACAATTTAGTGTTCCTGTCGACCGTCTCGTTATCAATCGATAAGAATTCAATTTTCTCCGCAACGCGGTAGCATATCCTACATTCGTTACGTCACGCGGCACTCGGGTGATTATCGTGCAAGTGATTAGCATCCAGAAATCGCCAACGTACACGATTCCTCGAGGCTTCTTTGTGTCAACGTGTAAACGTCGCAAAAAGTTGTCCCACAATTAAAAAATGAATAATGCATTTCTGATTCATCGGCCAACGTTAGAGAGAAGTCTAAACAAATCACGTCGGATGACACGTGCCCGATAACTGACGTATTCCATTTGCATTCTCATTTTTTTTTTCGAAGTAAAGGAGGTAACAGAGGAGGTCGAGAGGTGATTCGGAGTAAAACGAGTTGGGGAAGGGGGGGAGGGGAGGAAATGCGAGATGTGGAGGAGGTATAGATGGTGATAACGCTAAGGAATGAGAACGGTAAAGAGCAGCTGATAGGGAGGAAGAGGAAGGAGGAAGTAAACAAAATTAGGATGGAAGAGCTCCATATTTCTTACGATTGTCCCTCATCCCTTCGTTTCCTTTATGTTTCTCACTCATTTTCCCATTGTTTCCCTTACGTTTCTAATTCACGTTCTCAGTCATTTCCCTCACGTTCCTCAAACAATTTCTCTTTATTTCCCATAAGTTTCTTACCCATTTTCTCCCTATTTCCCTTAAGTTTCCGACGAATATTCCCTCCATTTTCCTTACATTCCCCACTCATATTTCCTTCCATTTCCCTTAGACTCTCCTCGAATTTTCCCTTCGTTTCCCTTACGTTTCTCAGTCATATTTCCCTCTATTTCCTTCAAGTAGCCCACACATTTTCCCTTCTATTCCTGTTAAGGTTTCCACGAATTTTCCCTTCGTTTCGAAATTCTGACCAAATTTTACATTTTGGTATCAGGAGAAAATGATATGCGAAGAGGTGTTCACGAGAAATACATGGTACTACAGATCAAACTACGAAATACGTATTTTCTGAAATGTTGTTTTCTTGCATTACATAAAGTTATCCTATTTGTAATGTACTTCCATTCTGTGTGAAATGGAATCATTAAACCCGTATAATCTAAGAACTGTAAAGATTGTATATCATTTCTAGGAAAACAAAGGTGTGTATTATAAGTGTTGATATTCAATTCTTTAATAATTCATTCCGAGAATGTTTGCACATTTTGAACTGTCGAAAATTCGGGATCGATATGCATGTTTCGACATTTCTCAGATCAAGATCGAGATCGTAGAAATCACATCTCGTCCTTCTAACACAATCTAACATCTCCTTTACACTTCCTGACATTTTCTGACAGCTCCTAATACACACTAACAACTCCTACCACCCACTAACACCTTCAAACACTCTCTATCGTCTCCCACCCCCCCTAATATCTCTTAACAACTCCTAAGGGCTCCAAACAGTTCCCTTTATTTTTCTTCATTTTCTAGAATGTTTTCTATTAATTTCCCTCCTTTCCCTGACACATCTGTTCCCTGTTCATGAAATCTGGATACAATAGGTAAGTTTCGAGATAGAATTAAAAAATTATGATACCTCTCCGAATATCATGATTTCCTGATAAAAATGGTAAGTTTCGAGCCAGAATAAAAATTATGATACCTCCTCGATCAACACGTTCTGCTAACACAAGAGGTAAGTATCGATATTCAATTAAAAGCCATGTTAAATTTTTGTTCTGGTATCAGGCGAACAACATGATATGCGAGGAGATGGCACGAAGATTTCATGGTACGTATCGAAATTCTGAGGAAATTTTACATTTTGGTATCAGGGGGACATGATATGCGAAGAGGTGGCACGAGGAATACCAGGTACGTATCGAAACTCTCAGGAAACTTAATTTTTTGGTATCAGGGGCACATGATATGCGATGAGGTGGCACGTTTGCGCCTACGGACAAGCAACCGGCCCGACATGCATGTCAGTACAGATTGCCTAATTCAAGGGGCTAATTTTTGTGAAATTTCGGAATTCTGGCCGATTTGGCATTTTGGTATCAGGAGCACATGATATGCGAGGAGATGGCACGTTTGCGCCTACAGACAGGCAACCGGCTCGACATGTCTGTCAGTACAGGTTGCCTAATTCAAGGGGCTAATTTTTGCGAAATTTCGGAATTCTGGCCGATTTGGCATTTTGGTATCAGGAGCACAT